CTCTCAGGGAACATCAATTCCTGGAGACATTTTTGGTTGTCACAACTGGAAGGGGAGATAATACTAACACCTACTGAGTAGAGTCCAGAGATGCTGCTAACCCTCTTACAATGCATGGGACAGTATCCACAACAAAAAATTATCTGGCCAATATGTCAACAGTGCAGAGGTGGAAAAACCCTTCCCCAACTAATTCTGATGCTTACTAAAGTTTGAGTAGTACTCATTAAAGCCTTAAACCAGGCTTTGAAAGGAAAAGAGCATCTGAAGAGAGATGATTTTGAGAGAATAAATAAAACTTCTACCATCTCTAGAAAAGGCACTGGAGTAACACTTACCTATCCCCATTTCATTCTCCCTATAGGATCTTGGCCCCAGTTTGCCTATCTGTGAAAGGTCACTGCAAGACACACTAACTATAGTAATCCACATTCTTGGTGAAGGAAATGAAAATTTCTTCTATCTGCCTAGGAGTTGTGGCTGAGTCAAATATAACCATTGTCTAACCATGAGCCATTCACCCAATACACAAAAGGAGGCAATGTTTATAAAGCTGGAAATAGTCTCCTGCCCCGACTCTCCTCAAAGTTCCCCAGTTCCTCTAGAGACAAGGCTTTTTTTTTTTTTTTAAATCTTTAAGCAGAAGTTATCCACTCCCTAAGTTTTCTGCAAGGCATACCACACTCTCTGGAGGTAATACTAACAGTTGTAAGCATTTAAGAGAATGCTGGAGGGCCGGCAGAGTGGCTCAGTTGGTTAAGAGCACGAGCTCTGAGCAACAGGGTCACCAGTTTGATTCCCACATGGGCCAGTGACCTGCACCCAAGCTGAGCTGCCAACAGGTGGCAGGATGGCTCAGCTGGTGAGAGCACATGCTCCTAACAACAAGGTTTCCGGTTCGACTCCCGCAAGGGGTGGTGGGCTGTGCCCACCAGCAACTAAGATTAAACATGACACTTGAGTTGAGCGTCCCACGGCTGGATGGCGATGGGACTTGGAGCTGAGCTAGCTGCACCCTCCACAACTAAGAATGAAAGACAACAACTTGGCTGTTCCCCTTCTCCAATTCACCAATAAAATCTTTAAAAAAAAGAAAAAGAAAGAGAGAATGCAGGGTACTCCTCCAAACCTCAACCCTTCATTTCTCAAACTAGTTCCTAACATGCCTCTTCCTTTCTGAAGGTCCCAAAGATTTGGCTCACTTGCTAGATTCCACATGGTCCAGATCGGCCTTCTAAATTTACCTTCGTCTAAATCTATACTTAATTCATTTCCTGGACACAGGGGTGGGCACTGTATTGTGTTGCTACTGTTCCACATGGTTCCTTGCCACAGCTTCTTCCACAGCATGAGACACAGGTTCTCCCAATTCCACCCCACTAACTGGCTCCAAAACACGTATATAACTCCTTTCCATTTTAATGTAGTTTTAATGCTAGTGACTCCAAGTCTTTTATATATCCAAAATGGAGTAAGGCCTGCATTCTTGAAGCCACCTCTCTGAATTCCTTCCCTTCGTGGATAAGTCCAGGATAGGCCACCATCCTCTTATTCTACCACTTTTCTTTTTTAAATTCCTGGGGACGGAATTCATCACTCATTCCTCCAAATCTTTCAAATCACAGGCTACCATTCAGGGTGATATACTCGTATAATAAACAACACAACTGAGTACTCATTATATACTTGGCACTTTCTAAGTGCTGTAATCCTTACAATAACCAGATGAAATAGGCACTAGAAGCATGATTTTACTTTGCCCAAAGCAACACAGCAAATAAGTGGTAAAACCACTAAATCTTTCTCTCTGGCAGCCAGTCCTTCTCCCTATCAGAATATCCCATTAGTGCAAAAACTCAAGTGTTGACTAGTAGAACATTCAAAATCCAGATTCAGTTAAAGTTCTATGACAACTCCAAACTGATACCCATATCAACATTCCCACTTTATCCAAAAAATACTCATCTCAGATCATCGTCTGACAAGCACCATCCCTGCTTTCTAAGTACTAGGACAGAACCAGCCTGATTCAGTAAGTATATGAGCTACTACGGGGCAGCGTCCATATCCAGTGTGTGCTCTGGGCAGTTCTCCCCTCATAGTGGGGGTTTAGCCTGTACCTGAAAGTGAAGTAATTCAGGGACTTTCCCAAGACTAAGCAGCAAGCAGCAAAACCAGAAATTTCCCAGTCTCTACAACAGGTATCAGCCACTGTCTGTACCTACTAACAGTGAACTCGCTTCACAGAAGATAATTCAGTCCAGTCCCATCAGAATTGGCTGAGTACGCCTGCTTTCACAAACTAATAATACAGATGAAGAGGTTTAAATAAATATGACCGACTACCTCAGGTTCCCTTTCAAATTATTTTACACAAGAAGGAATGCAGAAAGAGGAACCAACTCCAAATTGACAGGATTTCAGCAAACTGATTGAAAAATCATGTTTTTCTGACATCTCCCAGAATGAGAATTCATTGTGAGATCCTCTTCTCAATGAGCAGGAGCCTCTTGCAAATTAATACTGTCTGTCTCCTGCTCAATCCCTGAACTTCCTCAAAGAGCACAACGTCACTCATGTCTTCTTCATTTCCTTTCCTATTGAACCATACATACAAGCCTCATGAGTACCACCTAAGTATAAAATCAAAGTTTATAAGACAGACTCCTCTTTCTTAAAGAAAGCCCAAAAAGGTAACTGCAACCTTGCAAAGTAAGTTGATTTCTTGCTAGCTTAATAACTAACATTTATCGATATCTTACAATAACACAGGCATAGTATAAGACAAAAAGGGGACCTAAAATTATGTTATGGTTCTTGCCTTGAGAAGCTCACTATTAAATGGGAGAAGTACATATTCTGATACTTCCTTATAAACAAACAAAGTAAATATTTCTCCCCAGGATTTTTTTCATATATGCCCTCACTTACTCAGTGGCATGATATTAAGATCACCAGACCTCCTTAATTCCAGCTGCTTACTTAACATCTCCATGTGCACATCCCACAAGCAAACTGATCTCAGCACACCAGACTATGTTCCCTATACCTCATTCTATAGCCACCCCAACCCTTAAAAAAACCTCTAATTTTTCTAATCCATATCCTGGCCGATGAAATTCACATTCACCCAATCTCTCAAATTAGAGACCTTAGCCCACTCTCTCTCCCCAGTCACTAAGTCCTGTTGCATCTATCTCAGAATTATTTCTAAAATCCATTCCCCTCTTACTCCCACTGCCACACTTTATTCAGACTTTCAGTCAACTGCAACAACTCTAATTAGTCTCCCTGCCTCATTTCTCATTAATTTCATCTGCACTTCTGTCACGCCCTAACATAAAAGGCTCAGATGGCTCCCTATTCTCTTTTCAACCTCACCTACTGTCAACTTCCCCACCACACATCCTGTTTGGGACAAATTTCTGACACTTAAACATCGTGTTATTTTTTTCCCCTCACTTTCACCATGCCTCTGTACATGCTATTCTCTCCAATTGAAATACCTTTCCTTACTGATGCGAGCTCCTACTCATCCCTCATCACCCAACTCAAGTATCTCCTATGAAGATTTCCCAGACTCTCCCAGGCAATGGCAGTTCTTCACACCGTAGAAATAGCCCTATAAAGATATGTAACACACAGCACTACAATTTTCATATGTCTCTCTGAAGTCCTTGAGGAAAGATACATTTCTAACCCCTGTGCCAATTACATAGTAAGTGCTCAGTAAATGTGTGTTGAATAAATAGTTCATCTTCATATATCCCAAATCAATTTATTTCACTATTTCCCCCCAATTTTATGGATTCTTGAACTTGGTTCTATGTGATATTTCAACTTTTGTAACAACTTATTTGAGTTTTCAAGGGTTTTTTTCAATTATTATACAAATGTTGAATGAATGAACTATGCCTAAACATCTGATGAAAACACCTTAAAGGCTTTCCTATTAACTAAAAGAATGGTAATTCTCCCATTACAATCCTAACAAGAAGGATCCACCTATCTCTAGGCTGATTATCTGAAAAGCCTTCACATAGGAAGTATTATGCACACAAATCCAACTGAAGGCACACCCAAATAATTCCAATTAACTTATGGCTGGTGCACACACCATATTTGCCCTGGTTTACAAAGTCACTGAGAGCTCAGAATAGCAAAGAAACAGCTCTCACTAAGCTTCAAAACTTTTTCTGGAGAAGAAGAACTGGGGAGGGTCTGATGATCCAGAAACATTTATTCGGGCCTGGCTCAAGTTTCTACTTCCCCATTCTGCAAAGGCAGCACTCCTCAGCTTCGGATAGCTCTCCCCCAGGGATCCAGTTTTTCCCTCCTCTTGTTTATTCCCTACACTTGCCTGGGAACAGGTTCGTTTTCCAGGCTTGCACCAAGTAACCCAGAGAAAACACAGTAGCTTCACTGATTCTGTGAGAAGGGTGGGATGAAGTCCGTCGGTCAGAGACTTTAAAAAGAGGTACAGAAAGGGGGCCCTTTCGGGATACCTGAAGACCTGGGGCAGACCAGCCTTCTTCCTCTAGCCTTTCTCAGAGGTCTTGCCCCAAGCCCTCACCCCAGGGCCAGGCTGGGCTGAAGGCCACCCAGGGACGGGAACAACCTGGGATGAGAGGAAGCTTGAGGGGTCAGGGTCAGCCCGTGTTGGGAGTCAAAGGTCAGCACCTCGGCTACCAGGAGTGCCCAACAGGGACCGGGAGCCTGAGGGACGTGACAGGCACCGGATGGTCGGACGAACAGGCCGCTGGGTCAGCAAGCCGCTTCGCGCTCCGCTCCACCGCCTCGGGCCCAGCCTCCCCACCGCAAGCAACCTCAGCCCGCCTCAGCAGCCGTCCTCCCTCCCTCTCCCCCTTCACCGTCACCCCCGTCGTCCCCTAGGCGAACGCAGGCCCCGCCCCCAGAGCCGCCTCGGGGCCAAGGCCTAGTACGCAGGACCCGCAGACGTTGGCCAGGTTCCGGGACCGGCCCGGGCTGGCGCTGCTTACCGAGCCCTGGCTCCTCCTCCACCACCCGCGCCGCTCCCCGGATCGCTCGCTCCGGACGCCACCGACGCCGCCGCTGCTCAGGGATCACGGCCGTGTTCCCGACCTCCCCGACCCTTCCCCGGGCCCACCGTGCCTCGCCGGGTCCTAAAGCCCGCCTTTCATTGGTTCGTCCACGCCTGCTTCCTGAGGCTGGTTCAGACCACGACTCCCAGCAACCTTCACAAAGACAACAACTCCCGAAATGCACCGCGAGAACGAAATTAGCAAAAGAAACATCTATTGAGGATCTTCTGGATGCAAGTTGCAATAGCAATGTTTTTAAATATGGCAGACTCTGAACTGGCAGTTCCACTTCTAGAAGTAAATGTATCCTCTAGAAACACTAACAGAATTTGGAAAGATATATATTCCAACCTGTTTATTGCAACTTTGTAAGTGAAAAATTAGAGACAAATTCATTCATCCAACAAATATGTATTGTGTGCCTACTAAGTGCAAAGCATCGAGTAAGGCTGTGTTAACTTAGTAAGTAAACTTTCTGAGTCTGCTTTCATGTATGCAAAGTGAAAGGTTAAAAAAATATATTCAGAGCAGTGGGAGATTAGTGTTGGGGGATGTCATTCAATCCTTACAGTGACTTTTTGAAGTAGGTACTTAACAGATGACAAAACCAAGGCTCTGCATGATTAAACAGCTTGCCTAAGGTTCTAGAGTTAGTAAGATGTAAAGAAGATTTTGAACTCAGATCTATCAGGTAAGAGATCTTAATGACCTAGAAGGTCAAGTTCTTTCTTGGAAGATTTTTATTTTTCTTGTCTATTTACATAGCAGTGTAAGATGAAATTAGTGGTAAAAACTTTGCCTTAATAGACTATAAAAAAGAATGAGAAGGGGCAAGAGGAAGGCATCTTGAGGTGAACCCCAATAGTTCCTGAACACTAGTTAGAAGCTTCCTCTCCAATTGAAAGAACCCTTTTCCATACCTGATTCCCTTTTAAGAAGTCTTTGTTGAGCATGTGCTCAATACCCAGCTCTGGAAGTAGTAAACAAAAATTACAATTCTGAGATTATATTGTAACAAAGTGATAGAGAGAGAGAGAGAGAGAGAGAGAGAGAGAGAGAGAGAGAGAGAGAGATAGACAGACAATTAAATGTCTTAACTATCAGTGAATCATCAAGGACAGATATAGAAAGGCTCAAGTTGTAAATGCTCCCAAAAATTCACAGAAGGGAAAATTCCATGTCAATCTCCGGAGGCTTGCTGGGGGAATGGAGACAAGTGTTAGAGGAGAGGAGAAAGGAAAAGATAGTATGAGGGTGAAGCAATACAATATACTGCCTAAGCCTATGTCTGGGAAGTGGATTAAGTACAGATTCAGACAACAATGGTAAGTTAAGAAGGCCATACACTGAGTAGGTAAGAGCACAATCTATGAAACAGTGTGGGAAAGAATCCCAGGTCTGCTACCTACTAGCTGTATGACTTTGGACAAGCTTGAGCTTTCTGAGCTTTAATTTCCTATCTGAAAAGTGAAGATAATAAAAGGCCTATGTCACACTGGTTTGATTATTCAGCACAGAACCCTCCCCCTCTTAACTGTAAGGGCTTCTTCCTTTGGGTATAGTTTTGGTGGAAAACCAGGCCTTGAACAATGAAGGTAAGTGAGCTTACATGACCTAAGCTTGGCCTCTGAGTGCAGCCTCCAAAGAGTTCAGCTCTTGATCAAAAGATGCAAAGATGAAGGGATGGTCAGAATTTTGTTTATAACAGGTGTATCCTGGCTGGATGTTCTGCTGAAAAACAGTTGTGCTTCCTATTCCTTGGTCTTCAGAGAGTGTCTTTGTTCCTGCTCATTTTCCAAGCCTAGTCTTCCTATCCCCTGCAGATTCTGTTAGTCCCTTATGTTCTAATACATTTCATTTTTATTTAAGATAACCTATTTCTATAACTATTCTGAAACACTTAGCCAAAGTGTTCCTAAGTGATATCACACACACACAAACATGTACCCCCTCAAGCTTACTTATTCCTGCACCATACACCTATTGAGGTCTTTCTTTGTGCCAGGCTGTACTCTAGAAATGAGGGTGCAAAGATAAAATAAATCCTATGGCAACTAGGAACAGCTGGATGAGGATCAAATTTGGACAGGAAGGTGATGTTTAGGACATGTTGAGATTGAAATGTCTATGAGACATCGAGGCAGAAATATTTAGTAGCCATGTGGATACCCTTTATTGGAACTCAGCAGAGATATGTGGGCTGTAAATAAATATTTTGGAGCCATTGGCTTAGTGGTAATGGTTCAAGCCATTGGCTTAGGAAGAAAGCTAAAAATAAAAAATAAAAGGACACAAGATAGAATTTAAACACCTACATTTCAAGGATGGTAGAGAGAGATGAACCAATGGCAAATGAAATTCTGAAGATAATACTATCTAAAAAAGAGGAAAATGACAGGAGAAAGTCCCACAAGAGGACTTTCAATAAAGAGGTTGTCAAATGTCTCAGAGAGAAAAGAAAATTAAAATGTCCTTGAAGATCTCAGGAAAATCTGCTTCAGGGAAGTAGTAGTTTGAGGGATGAATGGAAGAAAAGAAAGTGGAGGCAGCAAATGCTAGAGATCTTTGCAAGAAGCTTGACTGAAAGGAAAGGGAAAGCTAGCCATAGGGCTAGATAGAAGTGGGGAGATGAGGATGAAAGAGTGACTTCTAAGACAGGACAGAGGAAAGTTTCTATGCTAAGAGCAAGAGGACAGAATGAAGTTGATGAAATAGAAATGGATGCATGTTCTCAGGGAAGTTATCAGGGGAGAGAGGAAGAAGCAGGCTTCACAAAGAGAGAGTGGACTTGGAGGGAGAAGGAATAGCACATCACCTGAGAAAGCAGGGGTGGAAAGCACCCCTACATATCAATTTGTAGGTGTTGCTGGAGAATTTACACACAGACTCAGTGCCTCTAAAGTATGTTTTAATTTTGTTTTCTAGCAAATTGTTAGTTTTGATGATGAATTGTTGGTTTGGTGCACTGACGCTCGACTCAGATTGTCTATGGTTAAAAGCTCACCTCTACCTCTACTATTTAATATCTGCGTGATCTTGGTCAATTTACTTAATCTCTCTGTGCTTTATTTTCCTTATCTGTAAAAGGGACTTGTGGAGGGGGTGCAGGGAGCTGTCAGACAGTGAGTGCTATGAAAGTATTAGCTATTACAATTATTTTTCCACCAGATTATCACCTCACTGAAGTTGAGGTTTTCTATTTTGTTCAGGGCTGTCTACTCAGAGTAGGGGCTCAATAAATTTTCATGAATAAATGAGTTGGGGTAAGAGAGCGAGGCTTGGAGGGAAAGAAAGCCTTGGGAGTAAGACGCTTTCAGTTCAGAGTTTAGCAGGACTAGAATCCCGATTACGAGTCAAACTCTGGGCCACTCCCGGCTTTCTGGGGCCCAAAGCAGCCGGCCTACACCCAGGCTCAGACAGCGTACCTAGGGATAGCGAAGTCGCAGGCGCTGAGACCATTGGGTGCTCGGGAAGCTCCTCCCCCCGGCGAGGTTCTCGTGGCTCCTCCCCTGGAGGGCGGTGTCGCGCCCACCCGGCGCGAACAGGAGCAAGCCCTGAACTTGCCTAGAAGGGAGGGCAGGGCGGGGCGGAGCCGACTCTCAGGCCCGGCCTCGGCCCACCTCATCCAAGGGGGACGGAAGTCTCAGCCCCACTCTCTACCTCCCCTCGGGAACCTTGGACTGAGAGCCAAGCCTCGCCCCACCGGGCGACCGGGCCCGGGCGTATTCCGGGACGGGCGGCACTATGAAGCGTGCGGCGACTCTGCGCCTGCTCTCGGATCTGAGCAACTTCAGCGGCGCGGCCCGGCTCCGGGAGTTGCTGGATGCGGACCCAGAGGTCAGAGTCCGCTGCAGCCCGGACGGCCGCCACCTGCTGCTACTGCGACCCCCGGGGGCGCCGGCCCCGCAGCTGCTGGTTGCGGTGCGTGGACCCGGCGAGGAGCTGGAGCGTGCCTGGCCGGTGGGCAACCCCTCACCGCTAGACGGCTTCTTCCTGCCGTGGCCGGTGCGACCGGCGCTGGTCTTGGTATGGGAGAGTGGCCTAGCCGAGGTGTGGGGAGCGGGCGTAGGGCCTGGCTGGCAACTGCTGCAGAGCACCGAGTTGTGTCCGGACGATGGATCCCGCGTGGTGGCGGTAGCGGCGCTCCGAGGCCGCCTGGTGTGGTGCGAGGAGCGTCAGGCTGATGCTGAGGGCTGGCTAGTGCCGCCCTCCGCAGCCTTCAGCCACTGGGTGTGTGTCAGGACACTGGAGCCCAGCGGGGAGGCTGGCACCAACCTGGGCCGCACACACATCCTCCTGCACCACTGCCCCCCTTTTGGGCTTCTGGCCTCCCGCAAGGACCTCTTCCTGGTGCCCACTGCCACCACCTGGCCTGGCGTGGGCCATATTCTACTCATCTGGAGCCCAAGCAAGGGTAAGGTGATGGTGGCTGCCCCAAGTCTTGGCTTCTCCCACAGTAAGAGCCTGAATCTTGGACGAGGGGACACATGGGACTTCCCAACTCTCCTTCGAGACCTTCCTGGGCTGCTGTCCCCCAGGCAGCCATTGACTGTACATACCTGGGCCCCAACTCCCAGGGGACTGCTATTGCTTGACTTCAGGGGCACTGTGAGCCTGGTGCAATCCCATGGTGGTACCCGGGCAGTGGGCACCCTGCAGGAGGCACCTGTAGGCCTGGCAGGGTCTGCAGCACTGGGAACATTTCATGGCACTCTGGCCTGTGTGCTGGGCTCCACATTGGAACTGTTGGACATGGGCAGCGGGCAGCTGCTGGAGAGGAAGGTCCTCAGTACAGACCGAGTACATTTGCTGGAACCTCTAGCCCCTGGCACAGAGGATAAGGAAGAGCTGGAGACACGAGGGGGTCTTCGTTTGCTTTCAGCCTTAGGTCTGTTTCAAGTAGGCTGGGAAGCCCCACAAGGCCTTGAGCTGCCTTCAGCTGAAGACCTGGTGTTTGAGGAAGCCTGTGAGTACTACCAGCGACGGAGCCTGCGGGGTGCCCAACTCACCCCAGAGGAACTGAGACACAGCAGCATGTTCCGGGCACCTCAGGCCCTGGCCTCCATTCTCCAGGGCCACGTGTCCCCACCTACACTATTGACCATATTGAGGGCTGAGCTTCGGGATTACCGGAGTTTAGAGCAGCTCAAAGCCCAGCTGGTGGCTGGGGACGATGAAGAGGCTGGCTGGACTGAGCTGGCAGAGCAGGAAGTGGCACGCCTACTGAGGACCGAGTTGATGGGAGACCAGCTGGTCCAGCTCAACACCATTTTCCAAGCCCTTCCTACAGCAGCCTGGGGTGCCATCCTCAGGGCCCTGCAGCTCCAGCCAGATGGGAATGGCAGGTTTAGGTCCCAAGCTCCACCTGATATGTGGAAGAAGGTACTAGGGGGTACAGCAGCTGGAAAGGAACCCCCCAATGGAGTACTGCCCCTCTTTGAACTCCTGTGCCAATACCTCTGCCGGCTGGAACCACGATGGCTGCCACCCTTTGTGGAGCTGGCACAGCAGCAGGGTGGGCCTGGCTGGGGGGCAGGGGGCCCAGGGCTCCCCCTGTATCGCCGAGCCCTGGCAGTACTAGGTGAGGAGGGGACCAGGCCTGAGGCACTGGAGCTAGAGTTGCTTTTGGGCAGTGGGCGGCCCAAAGCTGTGCTCCAAGCTGTGGGGCAGCTGGTGCAAAAGGAGCAGTGGGAGCGGGCTCTAGAAGCTGGCCTGGTCTTTAGCCCCTCCAGCCCCCTGCTTCGAAGTGAGATCTTCAAACTGCTGTTGGCTGAATTTGCCCGGCACCGCCGACTTGATGCTCATCTCCCCCTCCTTTGCCGGCTGTGCCCACCAGACCTAGCTCCCACTGAGCTCCTGCTGCTACTGCGGACACACCTCCCAGATGAGTCAGATCCACCCACCCCATTCCCTGAGCCTGGGGCAGAGCCCCCTCTCACTGTGGGCTTGCTCAGAGTTCTACTGGAGCAGACTGGGGCTCAAGTACAGCCCTCAGGCCCAGTTCTAAGCCTATACGAGGACATCCTCTGGGACCCAGGCACTCCACCCCCGACCCCACCACGGGGACCTATGACTACCCTCCAGACATCAGACCACCCAGGCCTGGATGCCTGGATACCATCTGGACGGGGCCTCTATGTGACTGACACAGGCTGAAAATAGCTTCTCTGATCAGGGAAGGGTGCCTAGGAGTTGTCGAGGTTCAGGGTGGGACCTGTGTGTGCAATACTCTTCTTTCTTCTGGAGCATTGTTAAATATATATATATATATATGCAAAATATTGTCATATAATAAATATGTTTGGTCTATCCTCAGGTTTTTCTCATGGCACAGAGCTCTCCTAAAACCCTTGGATTTTCCTGAGTGATAGGAGTGTCTTCTGTTATTCATAACGGACCCCTTTAGGGGTAATTTATCAAATTAGGGATAATATATCAAATTATCACACCTCTCTTACACTAATGAGGTAACTTAGGGTAGGGCCCCCAGCTTCAGAATGGGGCTAGTCACTAGAAAGACCAAGTGATGGGAGGGTTGGAATTTTCAGCCCCATCCCCAGCCTCCTAGGAGGTGAGTAGGACTAGAAATTGAGCTCTATAAAAACTCCCAGACAAGGAAATTTGATGAGCTTCTAGACTGATGAACACATCAAGGTGCTGGGAGAGTGACACCGAGAGAGGGCATGGAAACTACCTACACACACACACACAACACACACACACACACACACACACACACCCGTACCTTGCTGTATGCATGGATTCCATCTAGCTTTTCCTGAATTGTATCCTTTGTAATAAACCTGTAAACATAAGTAAAGTAGTTCCCAGAGTTCTGTGAGCCATTCCAGCAAATTATCAAACCAATTTATAGCATGGGAATTCCCAATTTATAACCAGTCAGAAGTACCAGTGACTTGCAACTGGCTTTTTAAAAAATCTGTATCATTTTATTTTTATTTATTTTTTATGTGACAGGTATTTGAAGTGGTGGCAGACTTGTGGGACTGAGCCCTTAACCTGTGGGGTCTGCACTAACTGCAGGTAGGTAGTTAGTGTCAGAATTAAATTGATTTGTAGGACACCTATTTGGTGTCCACAGAGAATTGGTGGTTGGTGTTAGAAAACACTCCAGAAATACATACACATTTTGTGTGTTTTTGAACAGCTGAGGGTCTCAGAGGGTTGTGGGTTATAGAGGGAGTTGTAATCTAAATCTGTTGGCTGAAGTGGCCACTTCCAATAATGAAAATAACTAACACTTATGAATATTTACCATGTTTCCCCAAAAATGAGACCTAACCGGAAAATAAGCCCTAGCATGATTTTTCAGGATGCTTGTAATATAAGCCCTATCCCAAACATAAGCCCTAGTTAAGATCGTCAGCCAGACGTAACTGTTTGAATAAATGTAGATTTTTGTACATGAATGACTGAAAAAATGTAGATTGTTGGAGCAAAAATTCATATAAGAACCCATCTTATTTTCGGGGAAACATGGTAATATGTGCCAGGCACTCTGCTGGTCTTTAATAATTACTCAACATTTCTAATAACCCCATCAGGAAAGTACTAATATCCCCATTTTATAGGTGAAGCAATAGGTTTAGAAAGAGGAAATAAGATTTAGAAAGATTATTTGACTGAGGTCAGTCAACCAGAAAGTAGCAGCTCTAAGATTTGAACCACTTTACTGTATAGCCCAGTAGCTGCCATCTGCTTGGGCTTGAATGCACTTATTCCTGACTCAATGCTAGCTTCTCTAGCCTGTTGTAAGGAGGGGGATCTTCAGAGCTGCATCCTTTCCCCAAGACTCTTCTGTTCCCAGGTCGGAACTGTGATAGGTCCTGGGCTCATGCCTTTCTCCCCCAGGATTCCTGGAGCAGCCTCTGGTTAAGGGAAGATTTGCCACAGACAGGAAAGCTACTTGCAGAGCCCTCTGGCTTAGTAACAAGAGTCACTGGAGTAGGGTTGCTTGGAGGACTCCCTAAACCAAGAAACAAGAGCATCTCTGGCACAGATTTCTGTTCATCTGAATTTAGTCAGTAAGACCCCCTCTGAAGAAGCCTTGGCCCTATGCCCACTTCTACCCAAGTAACCTGGATACTACTACTTAGCATTATCCTGGGCCCCCAGCCATCCCTTGTCCAAGACTTGGAACCAAGGTAAGGACTGCCACTGAGTTTTGTTCTCACCTGGGACCTACAGCTTGGATTCTGCTCAGCCTCATCCTAAGCTTAAAGTGACCCTTTAGTTTCATATGGGACATGGGACAGTTCCTCAGTCGCTTGGCAAAGGGGGGCAGCCTCTTAGGCTTGTCAAGTCCTGATGTTACTCTTCAGCCTCATGGAGGTCCTGAGGTGTTTCATCTACATGGCCAAGTCCTGGGGTGGCCCTGCAGCCTCACTGAAGTCTAAGGATGACATCTTGGCCTCATCCAGGGCTTGGATGGCCCCTGTCCTGGCCTTCAAGCCAGGTTGTCTACCAATACCAGGACTCAAGCTTCTGGCTCTTAAGCTACTCTTCCTCCCAGAGGCCCAGAACTAGGGATAGGTCATCCCTCAGCCTCCTCCTCAGCCCCTCTCTGGGTTGGGAGGGGTCCTCCTCCTCCTCCCGGTCTTGAGGCTGGACCCATTATGGCTCCTCAGTGGGCAGCTGGGGATGGCCAAAAGCAGGAATCTGCTTCCTGTTCATGATCCTGCTGAACCGTGGTTGTTTCTTTGACGGATTTGTCTTGGGGCTCCTTCTGTGCTCAGAGGAAAAGGAATTGTACTCAGTGGGCCCCTGGGGGCATAAGCAAAAGAAGGGAGCCAGGCTTTTCCTTGGCATTGTGTGGCTCAAGGAAATTCCTCAGGGCCACCCATTAGTAGGGCCTCAAGGTGGAGAACACCCAGCTTGGCAGCTCTCAGGTCAGGAGCAGGTGAGCTTAAATGGGAATTTTCACTTGCTCTTACAGACTGGGCCCTTGATTATTCTCGTCCTTACTCATACCCCACCTCTAATGTGGGGGGAGGGGGGCTGCGACTGACCCCAAACCATGCTTCAGGACTTTGGAGAAAAGCTCAGGGGTGCAGATACTGTGTGACTGAGTTCTGGTAGAGTGTGTGAGAGGGCTATCAAAGAGATGGCCCAGTGTGGTCTTCCTGAGTCAGTGTGGTCTTCCTTAGCAGAGCTCTGAATAGGTGAGTGGAGATCCCAAGTCTGAGGTCTTTGGTTGGTAGGGAGTGTTTCAGGGCCAGAAGGTAGAGAAGGTCCCTGAACAAGATGTTGAGACCTGGGGAAACGGGAGCTATGAGCTGAGGTCCTTGATCTTGGGTGCTAGGGTAAAGGGGGAAGTTTGGGGCTACAGGTTTTGAGCAGTGGAAAAGACCAGGTCCAAGGTCCCGGGGTAAGTGAGAGAGAGGATCCTAGTACCATTTCCACAAGTATGCCTCACCTTTGGGACCTTCTCAAGTTCACTTGGCAGTAGCCTCTAGAAAGCTTGAAGATGAAGCTAAAGCTAAGCAAGACCAGAATGCAGTCTGGGCAAAGCAGAAGCAGCAAAGCCTAAGTTTCCTCTACCTGCCTATGTGGTCATGGGGCCCAATCCTCCTTTTTTCCTCTCCCTACCACCTACCCACATTCCCATCCCTAGCTCTATACTTCCCTTCCCTTATCAGGGGATCCACTATTTGAACACAGACCACAATTTCCATGCCACCCAATGGCTAGACCACAGAACTACAGGGACCCAAGTCTTCTCCAGCTTGCAAAGGCTAGAGATCAGAGCCCCACCCCTTCCTCTATGTGTGGCCTGTAGAAAATTGGGCCTGGTGGCCAGATTGGGTCAATGTCCAAACCACTCCAGCTTTCCTCTTATGCCCTGACCCACCCTAGGCCTCGCCTTGGCCACCCGTCATTGGAACTGTTACTGTAAGTTCCCCAGTTACTGTACTGTCTCCTCAAATCTAACTTTGCTTATCCAGAGTATTGTAATAAGCAGGTCTGATCAAGTTCAGCACCTATTCAATATTCACAGTAAAGACCAAATTCTCAACAAACACATCTCTTCCTTCATGACTGGCCCTACCTCTCTTTACAGTCTTTTCTCTACTCACTCTTCCATCTCCCACCCTCTGAAGAATATATCGCACTTTGAACTACTTGTGGTTCCCTGAACTCACTAGGCTTCCCAGCCCCACTCCTTATGCTTGGCATGCTTTCTACCCTCTTCTCTGTCTGACCTAAACCCTTTAAGATACATGCAAGCATCGCTTCCTCTCCTACGACTTCCTTACTTGTCCCCAATAGATTTAGTTGCAACTTCTGTTCTCCCATGGTTCTTGGTACATACCTCTAAAAAAGCATTCATCAAATTATGTTTCATTGTCTACTTATTTGTTTGTCTCCCTGACAAAGGGAAGAGACCATGGTTATTTATATTTTTGTATCCTCAGCATGTATAACAGTACCAGTGTCATAGTAGTTTCAATTATTGCACATGCAGGAACTGACTGGTCCCTGTGGCCTAGAGTGAGAAGAGATTAGGCTCTGGGCTTTAGGGATTCTCTGGCTTTCTTCCCTTCTTCCCTTAGGCCAGACTCGCTGGTTGATCCAGACCTGAAATTGATGGAAGTAGATCAACTGAATCTGAAGGAATAACCAGGCCACTTGGGGCAGTGGTAGGGATGGGGAAACCACTGAACCAGGGCCATCTTGGGAGTTGAGGTGGAGTGGAAAGTATGGACATAACTGGTCTAGCCAGGGGCCTCTGATCCCCAAATCAGAAAAGAAGGGGTGGGAAAGCCTGGGTCAGTGAGGTTCTAGGGAGGGATGAGTTGAAGGGGCTAGTGGGAGTTGTGGGGCGAGGTCAAAAGACTGAGGATTGATCCCCATGTTGAATACTGCCATCAGTGAACTTGTTCTTAGGAAGTTTTCAGATGCACCAGAATTTTGTTCATAATGACCTGGGTGGTCAGGGAAAGAGAGGGAGCTTCAGAGACTGGAGAGAGGGCAGTTCTAGAAAACCCCTGCCCCCCAGCTCCATAAGGAGCCACCCCAGGCTGGAACACCTGGCACTCTTACTGCCCTGAAGAAAAGGGAAGAAATATCCTGGAAGTGGCGTCCCAGGTCCCCACTTAGTCTTCCTAGACACAGGCTCCCCCTAGTGGTTCCTCTTGTCACGGTCAGCTCTACCCACTACCCTCAACGCAAGCGGCACACTTGACCATTTCTTGACTTAAAACTGAGGAAGCCTCTGGAAGTGACAAATTAAGGTTCTTTGAAG